ACCACAATTCATGCTCTTGGCCCTCTTCCATCTTCAAAGTCAGCAATAGTGGACTGAGTCTTTCTCCCATCATGTCATTCTGATCTTCTGTCCTGCCTCCCTCTTCCACTTAGAAAAAAGAAACAACTTCTGTTTGGTTATTTGACTGAGCCAGGTCTTAGTTACAGCACGTGGGATCTTAGGCTGCTGCATACAGTCTCTTAGTTGTGGCCTGTGGGGTCTAGTTCCCTAACTAGAGATCGAACTTGGGCACCCTGTATTCAGAGTTCAGAGTCTTAGCCATGGGACCTCCAGGAAAGTTCTCTCCTTCTTCCACTTTTAAGGACTCTTATGATCATATTGGACACAACTGGATAATCCAGAATAATATCCCTCTCTTAAAGGAAGCTGAATAGCAACCTTAATTCCATCTGCAACATTAATTCCTTTTTGTTGTATAACACAACATACTGAAGGGTCCTGGGGATTAGGATGGGGACATCTTTGAGGGGGTCACTATTCTGCCCACCAAGGCACCATTGGTGGTTTTGAGCACTTGAGTGAAACAATCAAACTTATGCTTTAATGCAGTCACAGGGGCATCTGTGTTTGAACAGACATCAAGGTGGCCAGGGAAGAAAGACAGAGGCCAGTGAAGAGTCTGCTCTGAAAATCCAGGCCCAATATGGTGCTTGAACCAGGATGTTGAATTGGTAAAATTCCAAATATATTTTGAAGATAGAGTCAACAGGATTGATCAACAGACCATATGTAGATATACGCAAAAGAAAGGTATCAAGGACAACACAAAAGTTTTGGCCTGAGTACCTGGAAGAACAGAGGCACCATTAGCTGAGGGCTGCCCCTCAGAAGAACCAGTAGTGGTGAATATCAGCTTAGCTTTGCACAGTATTATGTGAAGCCATGTGGTTGAATTAGATCACCTAAGGAGTGAATATAAAAACAGAAGAGGTGAATGTGCCCTGGGACCCCATCAGTTACACTGATTCCCACCAGTAGATCTCAAGGGCTTACAAACTCCAAGCCTCTTGCAGCTGCAGCCTCTCCTTCTCCACCACAGTTACCTTCCTCTGCTTTGCAGAGGAGTACAGCCAAGCGCAGTGTCTCTTCTCTCAGTCTTAACGGGGCATTCTGGTATCACCGCTGCCTCTTCCCTAGCCTCTTCCTTCAAACAAGTGGTCTCAAAGTTTCCAAAAAATAGGGTAGCTCTCTCTCACTTTTGGTGAGAGGATGACATGTGAATATATTCATTCATTTAATAAATATCAGTTGAGCACTTACTACGTTCCAAGCTCTACCTTGAGGACTGGGAAACACTGTGTTGTTTATAAGACACATTGTACAAGTGATGACAAAAAGATGTGATGATCTTGTATCAGGATTGAGTCCCATGGGTTCTCAAAGGAGTTGGACACAACTCAGCGACTAAACAACAACAGAGACCTGAGAAATAGCCAGATAGCTGAAGGGATATATTTCTCTAAAGCAAAAGAGGTCCCGAGGTGGGACTGCAAGGTTGATTAAAGCTTCAGTATCATCAGTGTTCTAAGGTTCTTCTTTCTGTTTAACTATCTTCAGTGCATTCTAAATTTCTCTATGGTTTTCTCCATATCTTGTGATATTTGCATTATTTTGTATCATTTTTATAAATGGTTACTCACAAAGCCTCCATATTCACATGCTTTGGCTTTTTCATCCTATTTGTTTCCTCACCAAGAGGAATTCAGAGTTTAATAGCAGAAGTGGTTCACACCTCTGTCTGGCTGGAGAGAATGCTGGTCTTATTTGTACCCCATCTTCCAATATTCAACTGTCTTTCCTCTTGAAATGGATACTTCCCAGGAAGGCTGGTGGGGCAGATACATTTCAATGACATCATTTGAAACTCATTAAAAGGTCAGCAGGCTGACCAAGTACTTCTTCCTTCAAAAACAGAATCATAAATGTTGAGAGCTGGTGGGGTCAAAGGTTCTCAGACTTCTGAGTTTCTGTGAACTACCATTAATATTTTTAAAAGGTTGCTGAATTTCTATTATTCCCGAGAATGCCATTAAAAATAATAAGCTTCTAGGAACACAGTATCACCTCCCACAATGCACAGGACATCCCTCATAACAAAGAATTTTCCAGCTCCAAATGACAATAGTGCCAAGGTTCAGAAACCCTGGATTAGCTGCTCTTAATGAAAGGCATAGAAGAAAAGCCCCCAACCTGGCAGACATTTGAATTGGCAGACACTGTTGAAATATGGGAGTGGGTTGACCAGATGGGCTATGATGAGGTCAGCTAGACAGGAAGTGGACTGGCTATCCCAGGCCTGGGCAGGGTGGAGGGACAGGGCCAATGCTTATGGACATCTTAATTTTTAAATGGGATAAGGCACATAAAATCTGTAACACTAAGCCTGACACATGGGCTTTCCTGATGGCTCAGCAGTAAAGAAACTGCCTGCAATGCAGGAGACGCCAGTTCAATCCCTGGGTTGGGAAGATTCTCTGGAGAAGGAAATGGCAACACATTGCATCATTCTTGCCTGGGAAGTCCCAGAAAGAGAGGAGCCTGGCAGGCTACAGTCCATGGGGCAGCAGAGATTTGAACACGACTGAGCATGAGCACAAATGAATGAACTTTAGGGGACAAATTCTGCTGGGCACCTGATCAACCCTATATAATGGATTGAGAAGATCTGAGGTTCTCAGAGGTAATCTGAGGATTAGGGATGAGGTAGGAGGGCAGAACAGGGAACAGCCTGCAAGATGGAGTCTGAGACTGAGACTCCCAGGAAAATCATCAACTTCTGCGTGGGGGAGGGAAGTGGGTGAAGAATATTTTAAGATGCTTAATGCATTAACGCACAATTTGAAGGTTTTGTATCTCAGTAATGTGAAGATTACTCAGATAATTTTTCACCTCACCTCCAGCTTCTGGGATGTTTAGTACAATGTGAACGTGTTATTGGCTCAGTCCTGTTTGACTTTTTGCGACCTCATGGACTGTTGCTCACCAGGCTCTTCTGTCCATGAAACTTCCCGGGCAAGAATACTGGAGTGGGTTGAGATTTCCTTCTCCAGGGGCTCTTTCCTACCCAGGGATTGAACCCAGGTCTTCTGCATTGCAGGCAGATTCCTTACCCTCTGAGTCATCAGGGAAGCCTTACTACAATGGTGCAGGAGTATTACAAAGGTTTTTGGTGGAAATTAAGGGTCTACATTTCCCATTTGGGTTGAAACAGTATAGAACTGAGACAGCAGCCCAGAAGCAGAGGCAGGAGCCAGAGGTGATTGCAGGAAAAGAGGCTGCTTGGAGCTCCCAGATACCCCTACAGGGTTCTGAACTTCCACAAGATGTGGAATATGGTTTTGAGCCTAGTTCTCTCAGCAGGCTTACATCTTCATAGTAAAGGAGCCATTCTGATCTCATACTTGGGCATGCTGCTGCTGCTACTGTCGCTTCAGTCCTGTCCAACTCTGTGTGACCCCATAGATGGCAACCTACCAGGCTCCTCCGTCCCTGGGATTCTCCAGGCAAGAACACTGGAGTGGGTTGCCATTTCCTTCTCCAATGCTCAAAAGTGAAAGTGAAGCTGCTCAGTCGTGTCCGACTCTTATCAACCCCATGGACTGCAGCCTACCAGGCTCCTCCGTCCATGGGATTTTCCAGGCAAGAGTACCAGAGTGGGTCACCATTGCCTTCTCTGACTTGGGCATGAGTAAGTAAGACGAGGTCAGCTTGGTTCCAAAGTTCTATACCTGCTCCAGCTGGGTCAGAATTCTGTTTTCGTTCTGGACTCACCCAGACTCAGGACAGTCACTGGCTTGGGGATCTTCCAGAACTAGAGATGAGGCCTGCCCTGGCCCCTTAAGGCCATCCAGAACCTATGAGACTTTTAGGTATGGAGTATTCTGACCCTTAGTTCAGAAAACTAAGATCATGGCATCTGGTCCCATCACTTCATGGCAAACAGATGGGGAAACAGTGGAAACAGTGACAGACTTTATTTTTGGGGGCTGCAAAATCACTGCAGATGGTGACTGCAGCCATGAAATTAAAAGATGCTTGCTCCTTGGAAGAAAAGCATGACCAACCTAGACAGCATATTACAAAGCAGAGACATTACTTTGCTAACAAAGTCCATCTAGTCAAAGCTATGGTTTTTCCAGTAGTCAGGTACTGATGTGAGAGTTGGACTATAAAGAAAGCTGAGCACCGAAGAATTGATGCTTTTGAACTGTGGTGTTGGAGAAGACTCTTGAGAGTCCCTTGGACTGCAAGGAGATCCATCCAGTCCATCCTAAAGGAAATCAGTCCTGAATATTCATTGGAAGGACTGATGCTGAAGCTGAAACTCCAATACTTTGGCCACCTGATGCGAAGAACTTGACTCATTTGAAAAGACCCCGATTCTGGCAAAGATTGAAAGCAGGAGGAGAAGGGGACCACAGAGGATGAGATGGTTGGATGGCATCACAGACCCAATGGACATGAGTTTGAGTAAATTCCGGGAGTTGGTGATGGACAGGGAGGCCTGGCGTGCTGCCGTCAGTAGGGTCCCAAAGGGTCCAACACGACTGAGCGACTGAACGGAACTGACCTGACCCGAGTGAGAACAGGGGCAGATCTTTGTGTTGTCCCTGCAGTTGAGGCACAGAAGCATTTATGATGTAACCAGACGGCAGGGGGAGTAACATTGTTGCTGGGCAACCTGGCTTCATTAACTCTATGGCTTTCCTCAAGGTGCTACCCTGTGCAAAATTTCCTGAAGTCTTTCCTCACCCCCCTACCTCAACTCCCCCTTCCTGTGCCCCAGGGAACCAATCAGCCCCCTTCCAACTCTAGCAATCTTGTTATCCTAGTGCAGAGTAGTGACCGAAGACTTAGGGTTTAGTTTTAGACAAACCAGGCTCCATTGTGTAACCCGACAACTTCCTTTCCCTCTGCACCAGCGTTTGCATTTGTAAAACGGATGGTGGCTAACTAAAACTGTCTCTTAAATGGGCTAAATGTGGCAATACACTCAGGGTCTTAACCCACTGCAAGAGCTTGACGGTGACTATTCATCTTCCAATCATCTGGCAAGTTCATCTCACTCCTCATTCATTCCTTGTAGCGGTTCTTTTCTGTCCTTCTGGTTTAAATCTCAAGTATCTATCTAGGTAGTAAAGTTAGTTCGCATCTGACGCCTTTTTTTGGTCTGTCCCCCCTTCCTAGGGCCCACCCTCTGCGGACGCAGAGCGTCTGTTGGTCAGACTGATGGTCGGTTACGGCAGTCTCCGAGGCAATGCAATCTTGTCCTCGGCTTGGAAAGTCTCCGAACCGCTAGCTCAGATCCTCTGCGGCGCTGCCCTGCAGGGAAAGCCGCCAGCCCATTCTCAGGGGCGCGAGTGGAAGAATCACACTGCAGCAGAGGTAACAGACAGGGACCGAGGCCAATGAAGGGGGATGGGCGCATTAGAAGATAACGGGATGACCGGGATCAAGAACACGCCGCCACGCCCTCTCCGCCCGGCCTCTTATCCTCCAGCCGGTGGCCCCGGTTATCCTCCTAGATCCGGACAGCGGCTTCCGAAGTGACAGCCACGTGGACTGCGGGGGACTAGAATGTTGGCATGGGGGGCGGGGCTGGAAGGGCGCCCGAGAGGTGAAGAAGGACCCGCGTACGCATGCTCGGGCGCCGGCTGCCAGGCGACGCCACCGGGAGCGAGTACGTTCCTGACGTCACGCGCCGCTCGTCCAATGAGCGGCGGCCGGAGGGAGGCGCCGTTCCGCCCCCTCCCGCCCCCGCGGCTGCCGCCGCCACCGCCGCCGCCACCGCCACCACGGCGGCCGCCTCCGGGAGTGTCTGAGGGGGCGCGGGGCCGCCGCAGGCTTGGGCGCCGCAGCGCGCTGTCCGGAGCCGCCGGACGAGGCCCAGCGTGCAGCTTGCTCCGATCCCCGCTGCCCGATGTCCTCAAGATGGAGGCAGCGGGGAGGGCGGCGTGAAGAAAGCGGCGCTGTGGGCGCTGGGGCAAGGGCCCGGGCGCCCCAGGCGGCGGCGGCGGCGGCGGCGGCGGGATGGGGCTGCTCCTCATGATCCTGGCGTCGGCCGTGCTGGGCTCCTTCCTCACGCTCCTCACCCAGTTCCTGCTGCTCTACCGCAAACAGCCCGAGCCGCCGCCGGACGAGGCCGCCCGCGCGGCGGACGGCTTCCGCTACATCAAGCCGGTGCCGGGCCTGTCCCTGAGAGAGTACCTTTATGGCGGCGGCGGCGGGGCTGAGGAGCCCTCTGGCGGGCCTCCCGAGGGCGGCGCGACCCCGGCCCCCGAGACCCCCGCCCCGCCGACGCGCGAGACCTGCTACTTCCTCAACGCCATCATCCTGTTCTTGTTCCGGGAGCTGCGGGACACCGCACTTGCCCGCCGCTGGGTCACCAAGAAGATCAAGGTGGAGTTCGAGGAGCTGCTGCAGACCAAGACGGCTGGGCGCCTGCTGGAGGGGCTGAGCCTGCGGGACGTGTTCCTGGGCGAGACCGTGCCCTTCATCAAGACCATCCGGCTCCTCCGGCCCGTGGCGCCCTCGGCCACCGGGGAGCCCGACGGCCCCGAGGGGGAGGCGCTGCCCCCCGCCACCACCCCCGAGGAGCTGGCCTTCGAGGCGGAGGTGGAGTACAACGGGGGCTTCCATCTGGCCATCGACGTGGACTTGGTCTTCGGCAAGTCCGCCTACCTGTTCGTCAAGCTATCGCGGGTGGTGGGGAGGCTGCGCTTCGTCCTCACCCGCGTGCCCTTCACCCACTGGTTCTTCTCCTTCGTGGAGGACCCGCGGATCGACTTCGAGGTGCGCTCCCAGTTCGAAGGGCGGCCCCTGCCCCAGCTCACCTCCTTCATCGTCAACCAGCTCAAGAAGATCATCAAGCGCAAGCACACCCTCCCGAGTTACAAGATCAGGTGAGAGGAAGGTTGCGGGGGAAGGTCGCCCGGGCGCGAGGGCCTCCTGGCTGCTGGGACCCGGAGCCTGGCAGGGCATTGCCTCCGTCGTTGGGTGGGAAGGGCAGAGACTTATACAGCCCCTGCTTTCCAGGGCTCTTCCACCCTGGACAGGGCCCTCGATTAAGTACCCACATTCTTTACTTCCGAAGGGCATTAATAAGAAGCTGGAAGCCTTTACGTGTGCTCTTGGGCATCCACGGTGCTGTCAGCGCGGGTCGAAGCAGCATATTGAAAATGGAAGGGAAGTCCCTCCCTCCCCGGACGGCTCTGGGACTGTTGAGAAACTATTTCTCTAGGTGGTTGCTGCATTGAGGGCAGCTTTGCAGCATCGCCTTGGCCACATTGAGAAATTGTTCGTGGACACCAAGTACAGGCATGAGGAGTGTGCTGGGAGCTGTTGTATTTTGCAACCGCAGGCCAGTTTTGCCCTGGTGCTGCTTTGGCAACTTTCAAGGCAGAGGCATCATCTGTTGGAAAGGAATACTTTTCCACTGCAAATTGGAAACGAGTTGGGAGCCTATACATCTTGTAGTTCTCTGTTCCTTTTGTGTTAATGTCGTCTGGGGTAAATTCTTAGCACAACCCCAGGCTGCCCCCTGACCTTTCGACTCTACTTGGCTGTAGGCTCCTCCCACAGTACCTGAAATTGCCCAGCAGGTAGTATTTTAAGATAGGTTAGTGACTTTAACTTTGTAAAGCCTACCTATATCTGGCGGCTTGATTTTTATGTAGTATACTATTTTGATTAATGTACAAGGGTTTGGGTTTTTATTTATTTTTAATATCGTAGAAGTGGAAGGGGAAAAGAAATTTTGTGGGGCTGGAGTCTTCACTTTGGGAAGGCTTGTCGGTGTTGAAGGGTCATATATGGCTATTTCTTCTAAAACAGACACATTTTTAACTTAAAGTGTTTAATCCTTTAGGATTTTGTTCTTTACCATAAAATCATGTCAGTCTGGTATTTGCCTCACCTAGATCCCTTTAGTGGAAGTTACATATTTCTAGATCACTAACTTGCTACCACAGTTTAAAACATCAGTGACCCAGATAATTCAGGAATGCTTTTGTTTGGGATGGAGTATTGACTTGTATTATGTGGCAGGTTTGCCTTAGTAATTGTGTTTGTTTAGGCTAATAGCTTAGTGACAGCTTAAAACCGTCAAGTGGCAGAAACTTACAATGGAATATTTTCCATAGATTTGCACAGGATGGTGAACTGGTCATTCACTGTCTGATTTCCTGTTCTGTGAAGTAGAACATACTTATGAAACCTACTCTTTCAGCTCTGGAATATGTGACTAAATTCTCAGTGAGTTGTAGTGTTTAAGCAGTGAGGTGTTTATAGCAGTGTGTGGCTGAGAAAGTCATGAGAGAAAGTTGTTACAGATTTTGATATGTTTTCACAACTTCAGTTCTAATATTTTCTAAGTGGCTTTAAGATGCCAAAAACTTGACTAAGCTATTGCTGATATTTGGGGGTTATTTGCAGGATAGCCAGCGGTAATGGGATTACGTGTTATTTTGGGTGGGTTGGTTGGTTAGTTGTTTTCAGTGTTGACTTGAAATTCAGTTAAATCTGAAGGAAATTGTGATTAGCAGTTATAGAGCCATTAATAGGTTTATCTGCTTTGAAGGAACTTTTAGCGTCTTTTTAAATTGAATAGCATCATCATTTAAAATATAGTCAAATTTTTTTAATTTACTGTATCCAAAAGGATTTTTAGAAAACCTAAAAATCTTGGGTGTGTTTGGGTATTATGATATTTTAACTTTTAAACCTTAAAAGTTAAATGGTCACCTCCAAAAGTCTACACTCTTGGGCTCTATATTCCAAAGCATAGTCAGTAAGTACTGCACAGAATATATCATTCAATTTGTAAATATTTACTGTGCATCTGCCATGTGCTTAACCATTATTCTGGGTACAGGGTTTCAATACAGTCTCAACCCTAATGGAGGTTGGAGTTTAGTGAGGATTGAATTCGCTGTGCTTTTTTTTTTTTTCATTTATTTTTATTAGTTGGAGGCTAATTACTTTACATCATTGCAGTGGTTTTTGTCATACATTGAAATGAATTAGCCATGGATTTACATGTATTCCCCATCCCAGTCCCCCCTCCCACCTCCCTCTCCACCCGATCCCTCTGGGTCTTCCCAGTGCACCAGGCCCGAGCACTTGTCTCATGCACCCAACCTGGGCTGGTGATCTGTTTCACCCTAGATAATATACATGTTTCGATGCTGTTCTCTTGAAACATCCCACCCTCGCCTTCTCCCAGAGTCCACAAGTCTGTTCTATACATCTGAGTCTCTTTTTCTGTTTTGCATATAGGGTTATCGTTACCATCTTTCTAAATTCCATATATATGTGTTAGTATACTGTAATGGTCTTTATCTTTCTGGCTTACTTCGCTCTGTATAATGGGCTCCAGTTTCATCCATCTCATTAGAACTGATTCAAATGAATTCTTTTTAATGGCTGAGTAATATTCCATAGTGTATATGTACCACAGCTTCCTCATCCATTCGTCTGCTGATGGGCATCTAGGTTGCTTCCATGTCCTTTTGCTGTGCTTAATAAGATTTAGCTAGAATGTCATTGATGGGGTAACACTGAAGTAACTAGGAAGCTGATTTTAGTTTAATAAAAGAAAATGATAAAAGTATGAGGATGGAGAGTGCTGCTTCAGAAAGTGTTGAGTTCTCTTATCTGTGTGTAGCTGTTCTGCCAGGAATATTTTAAACTACTGATATTGTGGAGCAAATTCAAGTTTCAGCAGAGAGAATGAATTAAAATACATGTAAGATGTGTCACAATTCTCATAATGAGAATTAGAGTAGCTGTGGTTTCTCCTTTTGTATAGATGGGGGAAGAGTGCTCAGAGTAGTTAGTTAAATAACTTGCCTAAAGTCACACAGCTGTCAGATGGTGAAACCCAGCTCAGATGCAGCCAGGCTGCCCTTTTTTCTTGAGCCGGACTGTGCTGTCCTTAAGGGAGTTTAACGTGCGGTGTCCTTGCAGAGGAGCCGAGGGCTCTTGAGAGGCGCGTGATGCACAGCTTCCCCCTAAATTAGAAGTTTTGAGAAAGAGTCCCTTTAAATTTTTTAACATTTAAATCATAAGGTTAAATCTTTGGGTGCTACCCTATTTAGCATTTCATTTTTAATCCAGCAGATTTTGTTTCCAAATAGAAGGTCTTGCTAGTTTATCCTTTTTAGCTGCCTAATCTACTTAGTAGAGCTAAAGCAGTAAAGAAAACTATTGAATCTTAGGGTCTTTTGGCACTTGAAATTATTATAAAGGAGAAATATCTTAACCATTGGCCTTGTTGTCACTTCTTCCCCCTCTTCATTTGTTTTTCCATTTTCATGTTGCTAAAGTGAAAGTGTAAAGTGGCCCATCAGGGCTACCAGTTCTCATCAGGAGATGAGAAGGCAGCTTAAGTGGTTGGCTGCTTTCTGAGGACCTAGCTGATAGACACTTCATTTTGTCCAGGTAACATAGTTGGTAAAGGCTGTAGTATTTTTTAATGAGTACACATTTTTTTACATATTATTCTAATTTTATTAATATTCCAATGTCACTATCTCAGTGTTAATTTTTTTGAGTTTTTTCTTAAAATGTACACTTTAAAATAGTAAATTAAAGCCATCATTTAAAAAATTATTATTAATCAAAAATAAGTCTTCAAGAGAAAAAGATTACCATCAGTGTTCTTTTCTTCTCTCTTTTTTTTTTTTGTTCTCAAAAATTTTGTTTTTATTTAATTTCCTATTAGAGAATTGTGTGTTACCAGTGCTCTTGACTACATGGAGAACCCATCTTCAACATGAAATCTAAGTAATAGTCCTGAGGAGTTTAGGGTTTGCGAGTCAGGTATTTGAGATTCTTGCTGATGCTTCTCTTCCTAGGGTATCATTGCTGAGTAGTCAGCACTGGTTGCATATTCAAAGGCCAGATCTAGTTCGTAGGTACTTTTAATTTGGCTTGCACTGTAGTTTTTTTTGTTTCTTCATTGCCAGCATTTAAAAATGGAAAATATTGCATGATTTGGATTTCTGGCTTCTCTTAGGAAAATCTGGAAAACCTTAAAGCACTAGGCCTGCATTCGTCCTAGCAGTAATAAGATGGGAGAGATGGAGTCTAGGTTCAGGAAGCTCTTACATAGAGTGAGTCCCCACCCACTTGCTACATTTACTGACGACACTTGCCTGGCCTGGCATTATATACATTTGAAATCGCTTACTAAATGAACATTACTCTTGCTTTTCACTGCAAGTGGGAAGAGTGTTAGTAGCTGGGTAGTAGAGGGTGATCATTTTTATCCCTTTTTAAACATTATATCTTTGAAAAACCTTTCACTGAACAACTTTATTTTATAAAAGATATTATCATTATAATATTGAATGCTAAAAACATCATTCTATTGGAAATCTTTTAAAAATCCCTTGAAATGTTTTTCGTTTCTCTGCAGTGTAGTAAGTAGATAGTGGCTGCTTTTCCCTTGAGTTTGCTGGACTTTTGCTTTAGTGCAAAGTGTGGGTCATCAGTTAACTAAGTATAAGTGTTTACTTCTCTGAGTTACAAATAAGGGGGCATCTACTTATTGACACTATGTGAATTTAATAAATTAGTATGGAACAAATATCAGAAAACTTCACTTTTCAAGTTCATGGACTATCTTCTGAGCATGACTATTTTGTCGAAACTTTCATTCTTTTACTCTAAAAAATGTTCTGATATATATTTGTAGAAAATTTTCGCATATTCTTAGTGACTGGAGATTGAGGATAGGTCTATATTTAGTTTGATAGGGTCTTTTAGCATAATTATCTGTATCTTCTCTAATATATGATTAATTTCAGAGAACTAAATTAGACTTGGTCTGGAAAGCCTCATACTATATAGAGCAGCTTGTAATTGTGTTATTTCTTCCTTGGTCTGAGATGAGAAAGAA